GAACACAAGCTTCTAAGTCTTAATTGCACGTTGTTGTCATATACCATTCGTTGGTGTGGCATTCAATATTACCACTTTTCTTTACCTCATGTTATGTAACTTTGTCTATTGATATATATGCAATTGTTTATGTTATTTGTTGTGTGTGTAAGTGGGTTTGTTTACATTATTAAAATAAATATTCTCTAAATTATGAAAGGTTCTAGTTTCAGTAATAAATCACCCTCAATAACTGTTTGTTATAAGTTTGGGAATCATAGGGCTAATCATAACCATTACTTTACTTTCTTCAAATGTAATTGGTGTATTAGCTGCTTTATTTTTCGCTAATTATTTTATAGAGTTTTAATTTGACGATTAAATCGTACAGTTGGCTGTGCAATTGAACCTTGATTATCCAAATTTGTCGAGACTTATGGGCTTTATGGTCCAGATCGATAATCCAGAGTGTTAAGTCTCTCCGTTTGGGTTTTCTAGTACCCAATGCCACGCGATTTGTACATGAGGTTGAGGTTTTGTCGGCAGAGTAAAAACCACCATCTTGATCTTACTCTTGTTTTCTGGACGTTGGGTCAATACACAACACAGAGTTTGGATAATCGAAATGTGGATATAAATGTTGGTACAAAATGGGAACAGAGAAGTGAGTCTAAATAATTGAAAACTCCTAATAATGGAGCTAGGTCCAGATCATCAAGGTTTGACTGCAATGATTGGACGTCTAGCTGTAATCGGACAGTTAAAGCAGCCAATCATACCTGTTAAGTCCATTCACCTAATCCACCAATCACAGAATTGATTAAAAGCACTTTTAAAACTTTGCATTTGTTCTTTCGGAAATTGTCATGGTTATGATTAATTGGTGACAATTAGACTTTGTGTTGTCCAGTTCGGTCAGTAATCATACATACTCGAGTAAATATCTGAGTTTGCATGAAGAGTCACTAGGCAGAAAATGATCAAGTACATTAGAGAAAGATAATGAATTTCAAGTACTTTTGTATCACAGACATATACTGTTCTAATAATGTCGATGATTAGCAATTATTTCCTGAAGGCTAAGTACATATTAATGTTAAATAATCCTAAAGTAAAGTCAAGGGGATTTTTTAGTTTAGCCAGGAAATGCCTCTAATCAAATATTCATAGAGAATTGCAAAGATGTCAGTCAAGAAAACTGAACTTGACCTAGACATTCGAGAACTAGGAAAGGATAATCATTATATAGGGTTGACAGTGCATACCTCATCTTTCAGTCCAAAGAAACAGGAGTAGTGTATACCTGAGGGTTATTTTTAATCTCTCCTAGACCCTCTCGATAAGTGTATACCTGAAGAATTTTTTTTCATTTCTTCTTTATCCTCTAAGGCACTGTATACCTGAGGGTTGCTTTTAATCTCTCCTTCACCCTCTTGAGTAGTGTATACCTGTGGATTACTTTTAATCTCTTCCAGACCCTTTCGGGTAGTGTATATCTTAGGGTTACTTTTAATCTCTTCTATACCCTCCTGGGTACTTTATACTTGGGGGTTCCTTTAAATCTCTTCTATACCTTCTTGGGTAGTGTATACCTTCGCAGTTATTTTTAATCTCTTCTATACCCTCTTGGGTGGTATATACCTGGGGGTTACTTTCAATCTCTCTAATACCCTCTTAGGTGGTGTATACCTGAGGGTAACTGATGCTAATACTTCTTGTAAAATCAGGCAGAAAAAGTACTTTATCCAGATGTTGATGTTGAAAGAATTTGTGGATCTGAAGGATTGATATATTACATGTGTTAATTGTATACTGTGCCAATTAACATGCCCTTCAGTATATACTTTAATTTTCAACAGAGATTTGTTCAATTTATTATATATATATATATATATATATATATATATATATTTAAAGAGTAAAATTTTGACATACGTAAAACAGTGCTCAATACATAGGAGTAGAGCGATGTATATATTGTGGGAGGAAAAAGACAAATAAACTACAAGTTCATCCTTACAGACCTGTTTCGTGGTTGCCCACTCATTAGGGAATTTAACGAGAATAATCTTTACCATCGCCTATATACACTATAATCAAATTTATGCAGCGCAAAATTTAACGGTTTAGTTGTTGCGTAGGAGGGCTTTGTTTCTGCGGCGGCAGGAAGACACGAGTTCATTACGTTTGTTTTGTGTTGATAGTTCGGGTCCGCAGATGATTAGGAATTTTTCTTTGAGGCAGAGATTACATCTTTTACTTGAGCTGTTGTACGGCGAGTGAGATGAGAGAATGCGCAAGGAAATAAAGTGTTCGATGTTGTCTATTTGTCTTTTTCCTCCCCCAATATATACATCGCTCGACTCCTATGTATTGAGCACTGTTTTACGAAAGTCAAAATTTTACACTTTATATATATATATATATATATTGAGATATATTTTTCCCCAGTTTCATGATTACTCACTCATCAGGGGATTTTATTGTCAAGAATATTCTTAACCATCGTTTATATACTTTACAAATGTGCATAAAAGGCTTGGCGGTAAATTTAAATGCTTTAATCAATTGCTACGAAGTAACGTTTCGTTTCTGTGGCGCATGACAACATGAGTTCATTACTTTTATTGAGTGATGATAATTCATGTCGGCAGAGGATAAGTAATTTTTCTTTGAGGCAGAGGTAGCATTTTTTGCTTGTGCCGTTGTAGGGATATCTTGAAGGATGCGCCATGAAATAAATTGGTCGATGTAATTTTCTTCAAAGGTCCAGATATATCGTACTCTACTTCTACATATCGACACTACTATGGAAAAATCGAAACTCAGACTTCCTATATATATATACATATATATATATATATATATATATATATATATATTATACAACTCAGTTGATAAAACTCCCCCCCCCCCCCCTTACCAACGTAGCAATTTCTGTAGAAACTTGCCCCTTATTCATTGCTTTTAATTTGTTGATTTTGGAAAGAAATTGAACCACCATTCAGCTTCTCTCCTGGATGTTTTTTAGTCTTGGTGGCCAGTTCTTTCTGAAGAAGAAATTTTTGTAGAGTAAGGAATTTTTGTGAAATTGATAATTAGTATTAATCCTACATAACTCCTATGTGTAGTACACAAGCTGGATTGATTCAAGACCACAAACATCTGCACTTATCATGAGATTTTTTTAATTATTAAAATTATTTAAGTCTTCACAAATTTTTCAGGTAATTTAACATAAACATCAATTGTTTAACATTTTACGATGAAGTAGAATTGAGTTCCCGGGTTCTCTCTTCTCGGGTGATAGAGGATCAGAAGTGGAGCCCAAGTGAAGTTAGTGATAGCATCCAAAACATTTCGATAACCGCAAACAATTTCATGAATGATTTAAATGATTGAGTTTTCTTAGCACACAAGATCAGAGGTTGATAGCCTGCCCTGCATTCAAACACAAAGTCCCTCCAGTTAGGCTAAAACTATTGTCCTTTGTACTTTTATACAACAAAAAGTCTGCAAAAGTTCTGCAATTTGTGCAAATGGTAAAGAAAATCATTAAAAAAATTGATTTAAGTGTGCTGCGCATATGTTTAGTTTTAACGTGCCCGAAAAAGTATACTACCAGAGTTCCTTGTAGCACGCTAATTTAATTTTTCTTCACTGATTTTTTTTATAATTCACGAGAGATTGCTCCATGATTCGGACAAAAACCTTATCACCTCAGTTGCTCCCCCCTGGTTACCTAAAAAAGTTTCACGATGAAAAATCTCACATTCTAGGGATGAACTGATCTTTACTGGAGCACATGGCAACAATTGCCACACCAGCATTTCCTTCTACCAAGGAGACAACCAACTATGCTCGACTCTGTCGCCTTCTGGTGGATGTTGGATCTCAAGCCTTGAGAGACACTTTTGATGCCATTCACCCTCCAGTAGGACTTCACACAGTTTTGGGGCGTCACCCAGAGCATGCAACGCTAAAGTCTCTAAGGAACAAGAGGATCTTGAATGCTACGCAATGGGGGAAACTGTATCCAACTATTCCATCATCTGTTTCATCAGCAGGGTTTGATATCACACTACTGATGGTGTTACTGAGGAACATCTGTAAATTGGCCCCTCCCAGCACCGGATGGGATAGTCTTCCCCACCTTGCAGACGTGAGTAAGCAGGCCAACATCGCCAGGTTGAAATACTACCGTAATACTGTGTATGGCCATGCCAGCCAAGCCTCTGTGGACGATGCTGCATTCAACAACTACTGGCAGGAGATTAGCAATGCCATAGTAGGACTGGTAGGAGGAGGAGGTTATGGAGCTGTTATCAGTAAGCTTAGGAATGAGTGCATGGACCCTGATACTGAAGAACACTATAGGCAGCTGCTGAAGCAGTGGAAGGAAGATGAAGACAATATTAAGGAAAAGCTCCAAGATATTGAAGGTAAATATAATTCATACTGAAAAATGTAACCTTAATCAAGCAAAAGGTATCAGGAGGAATGGCAAAATCAGCCCGGACGTTTGAGCTTTGATTTCTGTAGTTATGCATCAGTTAAAACTTTTTAATGTTACCCACTGGTCATTTACAGTCGCCATAATTCATACTGGTCAAGAATATTCGAAAAAATCTTCATCTAATCAGAAGCAAAAAATAAAACCAATCACGATACAATGGTAAACAGACAGGTGCTGAAGATTAAG